CCTGCTATGCAAGGCCCGATTTGCCTAATAAGCCAAGTTTTCATGAATTAATTGTTTTTCGACTACCTAACCTACCTAACCTAACCTAACCTAACTTTTTCGGCTACCTAACCTAACGTAACCTATAAAGATAGGTTAGGTTAGGTTAGGTAGGGTTGGTTAGGTTCGGTCATATATCTACGTTTATTTTAACTCCTATAAAAAAAAATTAACCTCATACATAATGAAATGGTAGCTTTATCATTTCATAAGAAAAAAATTAGAGAAAATATATTAATTCATGAAAACTTGGCTTATTAGGCAAATCGGGCCTTGCATAGTAGGCTTAGAAGTGCGTTCTGGCTAATAGGTACGACATACATATATATATATATATATATATATATATATATATATATATATATATATATATATATATATATATATATATATATATATATATATATATATGTTTCATTGAATATGACCGCATATTCTGTACATATTTATTATTTTCTGGTTTAGGGCTTCTATCCCTCTAACTATTTTCTTAGCATCAGGGCTTAGCTGGAATAGGAGTTCTCCAAAACTCATTTTCGTAATTTTAAGGTGAAGAAAAGAAGTGAATTACTATAGAATGTATTACACTTATTTATACAATTTGCGCAACGTTTCGAACCTCCATGGTTCATTCTCAAGTGAAGAGATCTTACAATGCTGGTTGATTTTATACCCGCACTGGGTCAGGTGATAAGACAATAAAGGTGAAAACATGGGGGATACATAAGGGATAAATGTAGGGTGAAACATAAGAACATAAGAATAGAGGTAACTGCAGAAGGCTTATTGGCCCATACGAGGCATCTCCTATCTACATACAAAGATTAATCCAGTGTATTTGGCCTGTTATGTTGGACATTGTCTTCTGTGTTGGCATCGTTATGTTCTGGTCTTGTCCTTACTCTCATGGTGGGTAGAGTAAATAGTTCCGTGATTTTGGTGTTCATGGTAGGTTGTTCTATTCTTATGTGAATTGCTTCAAGAATTTGTAATCTTCTTGCATCTTGGGTTTTGTCTATTATGCAGGTATTTTTGTTCAACATTTCTCTTGTTAGGGTGATGTCATGGGCTTGTCTCATGTGATTCCTAGGAATCAGCATATATATATATAACTAACCAAGAGTGGCGTTAACAGCCAATAATGCCTTCCAATAAGGCTGCCTAATAATAGCAGCCTTCGTGTTCTTCAGTGGTAGTCAAGTGTTCGATGGATGAAATTTCCAAGTACATCCTTCTGATATTTTTTTTTCGTTTATAAGTCTAGTTTAGTGCAAAAGTTTATCAAATATTATCTTCAGTCTGTGGTATTGTTATGGATATGGTATTCAGAATTTATTCATCCAACCTTTATGGATAGATTCAGAAGGTTTTGAGTTAAATATTGTCAGTGAAGTGTAACATTCACTGTTACTTCAAACACTAGTGACATTGTGCTCTGCCTTCTTTTCATATCTGAACTCAAAACTTTTACTAATACCTTTCGTCCTCTTGACATAAAGCTCGCCTTTCGACAAACTAACACACTTCGAAGCAATCTAGTTCACACTGCTCCTCCTGCTTCTAATGTTACTGGTGTCTACTCTATTTCCTGTTTGTCTTGCCCTCTCCAATACTTTGGTGAAACTGGCCATACACTTAATGACAGACTTAAAGAACACAAAAGAAGTGTTAAGTCGGCTGACACAAACAATGCTCCCTTCTGTCATGTTAGGGATTCTAATCATCCTATTGATTGGTCTTCCTCCAAAATAATCTTTCCTGCCTCTACTTTACACAGACGCCGTCTTGTTGAATTGGCTCTGATATACAACATACCCAACATGAACTTAAGAGTCCTGGCTTTGTTGCTGTTGACTCTTCACTTTCACAGTATATATTCAAATGCTCTAAACTTTCCAACAAACGTGACCTAACATAAGCTTACCCTTCCATTTATCTTTCTTTCTTTTTCTTTCCCTTGTTTTCTCTTACGATCCCTTTCTTTTTTCCTATTACTATCGCTTTATTACACCTAACCTTTCATACCTTTTGCCTTGCTTTTTCTTCCTCTAAGATTTCCTTCTCCTCACCTCTCTCTTGCCTATTTATTGTCCTTCGCCTCCTTCCCTCATCACAATCGACTTGAGAATAGTCCAGGACGGACCAAAACGTCGTCGTCCCTTCACTTTCTAGTGTGTGGTTTGCTCAACAAGTGTAACATGAGCTGCTCCTACATGAGGTCAACATTACAACAATTTATGGTTCTGTTTTTTAATCAAGTGACTTTACCCAGGTCTACGTACTGATACTAGTCATTGGAACTAACAATGACGTCTTTTTCAGGGCTTTAGCATTGAAAAGTGATTGATATGTACATTACATTTTATACAAAGTTCAACCCAAAAAACATTAAACAAAAAATATTAAAAGCAATCATAACATAGGCAATGAAAATTAAAATTTTTGTTTTACTGTTCCCAAAATAAAATATGCATTGCACTGTTTTGTCAATGAACATTAAAATTTTACTTTATGTATGTTATTTAAAGCAAAAGATTGATAAAATTCTTAACCCTGAAACATTTTATTCTGAAACAACCAGACCTGTACTCACCTAATTGTGTAACATATCGGAAAGTGAATGAAAGTAATGAAAACTGAAGATGGTCATGGGGGGTGTGAGGAGGGAGAGAGGTGGAAGGGAGGTGAGAAGATTATGGTTAAGGGAAAGTTAGAGGGAGGAAGAGAATAGGATCAATGTGGAAAGAGAAGGTAGAAAGAAGAATTGGTTAAAGATGAAAGTTGCTACCACCATCCATTCAAGTTAAGGATATATATAAGACCAGGAATAGAACTTGTCTGTACAATATTATCAAAGATGTTATCCTGTATCAGCTATACTCATGTACTCATATAACCAAGAATATTTAAATCAAAATCTCAAGCCAGCAAACTCCAGAGTGCTCTCAGCTTTAACTTGCACTATATCATAGAAAATCCAAGATCTAGGGATCACAATTAAAGACAATTTACAACAATAAGTTAATCAGTTATATATTTTGTATGATAATTATCATAATTTAAGCAATTAAACTTTATGTTCACTATGTCAAGATTAATACACACGGTGAGTCACCACCCAAGAATTTGAGGACACTACGGCTGACTGCCCCTGAAAATCACACAACACCTTAAGTTGGAAACACACCAAATTTGTCACCTTAAAGATCACTCACTAAGGTCTCTGAATCTAAGTAGGATAGAGAGGGGAGGGGAAGCTGCAGTTGACAGAGTCCCCACCCACCCTGTGAAGACCAGCCTGGCTGTTGGAACCTCTTGACAAGCGATCACCCTCAGATCATGATCAATAGCGAGGGTAAACAAGAACACGCATGAGAAACAACGTCGCACTACTCCGAGTCAAAAGAATCACCAACCCGACAGGCAGCATGGCGGAGGCACAACTGGTGAATGTCACCCCAAGACGAGGGTACAGAGCAACCATCAACCTTGCATAAAGCGAGAGGGGACTCGAGAGTCACATCCATTGGACCAAGGAGCCCCTACGGGGTTTCCCAGTGCCCTTAGCCTTGGCAACACATTACGAGAAGCCCAGGCAGGGTACTGCGAATCGGCGCCCAAAACTACCAAGCAAACTTCTAAAAGCTGAACTATCAGGATGTGTCCATTCACGGGGGCCTAGCAGAGGGCACCACCAAGAACACAGAATTGTCTAACGAAAGACCCCCCAAAGACAGAAATGGGGCGCGCCTTGGCTGCATTGTGGGGTCTCACAAGTCAGACCCCCCACCAGGCAGAAAAACAAAAACAAAAGAAAAACCCCACAAGAGGACAACATACCCAGGCGGAACAGAGCCAGCCGCTATAATTAGTGAGAACAAGCTGTGCAGTACCCTGCGCCCCTACCAGTGACGAAAACTACCTCCTACCCAGAGGCAAAAAAGGGCAACAGAAACCCCAGCTGACTCCAAGGGCAGCCAAATACTGAGCAGTAAAAGACACAGAGGAGATAGCTCCCAAGGAAACTTGTGGAAGATGGCCCCCAAGCTCTAAGGGCAGTACTGTACTTACAGGGCACCTGGGGAAGGAATCCCTAGGCGCATGCAGCCCAAGTACCATAGAATATTACTCCTGGCTCACACACCATCTGTAGAGACAGACCACACCACAAGGCACAGAAACTGAAACCAAAGCAGAAGCCACAGGCACTTGACCTGCCAGAATCACATCAGCAAAGAACTGCTGATTGGATTGCCGGCACGGAGGTCTGGGGCTCCCCCTTCCACCTCCTGGGGAGAGGGGGGTTTGCACAGACAGCGGTGCGGCGATGTGATGACGTCATGTTAGTTTGCTAGTTTTCATTTGGGAGTTCTGTCCACTCGTTCGGCTTTTGGTAGCAATATTTTCACCAGAATAAGTTTTGGAGTGCCTACCTTTCTGGGTGTCAGACCCGGTCGGTGGGAGACATAGAATGCTTCCAACCACACGGGGTTTTCTATAGGCTACTGCTCCTCGTGCCTCTCTGAGGGGGCCAGGTTCTGGATTGTGGTCCCCAGTATGCAAGAACATGCACATTGACTGATGCCAGAATAGCTAATAAATACATTTCATCCTGGATAGCTCCGGGAAGCTGACAGGGCTTCCCCCAGGAAAATTGCTAAATTCAAGCTTAGACATTCCTAGGCCTAGTACAACATATATGTACTATATTAGGCCTAAGTATTACCATATATTAGGCCTAGGATTGCCAGGAGAGGTTAGGTTCTATGTTTATGCTGTGGTTAAAAAATACAGTATCCGATTTAACCAAATGTCAACAAATGAGTACAAAATGCCAACTTTTTGGTGGCCCATCACAACATAATACAGTACTTAAGAGTAACTATTTGGTACAAAGAACTAATATAACTGTAGGAGGATGGGGTGCATTACTACCAGGTGAGTACACACACAAACAAAAATCCTTTCTTACAAACTTTATTTTCATAAAAGAATGTTCAGATAATTACATGTGTCATTCTAAAACAACAAAGCTAATTGAATGATTATGAACAAAAATAAAATAAACTAAACAGATTGTTCAAAGTATTAATTTAAAAATAAAATAAAAATTTCTTTGGTGCCTTTTTTCCCCTTCTGACAGCTCTTCCAGGATGGGGTCACCTCACAAGGGGTCACCTCACAAGGGGTCACCTCACGAGGGGTCACCTCACAAGGGGTAACCTCACGAGGGGTCACCTCACGAGGGGTCACCTCACGAGGGGTCACCTCACGAGGGGTCACCTCACGAGGGGTGACCTCACAAGGGGTGACCTCACAAGGGGTGACCTCACGAGGGGTGACCTCACGAGGGGTCACCTCACAAGGGGTCACCTCACAAGGGGTGACCTCACGAGGGGTGACCTCACGAGGGGTCACCTCACAAGGGGTCACCTCACAAGGGGTCACCTCACAAGGGGTCACCTCACAAGGATTGACCTCACGAGGGGTGACCTCACGAGGGGTCACCTCACAAGGGATGACCTCACAGGGGGTCACCTCACAAGGGATGACCTCACGAGGGGTCACCTCACAAGGGGTCACCTCACGAGGGGTCACCTCACGAGGGGTCACCTCACGAGGGATGACCTCACGAGGGGTCACCTCACGAGGGATGACCTCACGAGGGGTCACCTCACGAGGGGTCACCTCACGAGGGGTCACCTCACGAGGGGTCACCTCACGAGGGGTCACCTCACGAGGGGTCACCTCACGAGGGGTCACCTCATGAGGGGTCACCTCACGAGGGGTCACCTCACAAGGGGTCACCTCACAAGGGGTCACCTCACAAGGGGTCACCTCACGTGGGATCACCTCACGTGGGATCACCTCACAAGGGGTCACCTCACAAGGGGTCACCTCACAAGGGGTCACCTCACAAGGGGTCACCTCACAAGGGGTCACCTCACGTGGGATCACCTCACGTGGGGTCACCTCACAAGGGGTCACCTCACAAGGGGTCACCTCACAAGGGGTCACCTCACAAGGGGTCACCTCACAAGGGGTCACCTCACGTGGGATCACCTCACAAAGGGTCACCTCACAAAGGGTCACCTCACAAGGGGGGTCACCTCACAAGGGGGGTCACCTCACAAGGGGGGTCACCTCACAAGGGGGGTCACCTCACAAGGGGGGTCACCTCACAAGGGGTCACCTCACAAGGGGTCACCTCACAAGGGGGGTCACCTCACAAGGGGGGTCACCTCGCAAGGGGGGTCACCTCACAAGGGGGGTCACCTCACAAGGGGTCACCTCACAAGGGGTCACCTCACAAGGGGTCACCTCACATGGGATCACCTCACAAGGGGTCACCTCACAAGGGGTCACCTCACAAGGGGGGTCACCTCACAAGGGGGGTCACCTCACAAGGGGTCACCTCACAAGGGGGGTCACCTCACAAGGGGGGTCACCTCACATGGGATCACCTCACAAGGGGTCACCTCACAAAGGGGTCACCTCACAAAGGGGTCACCTTACAATGACCCACAGATATTTAGTGTTAACAAATATTTTAAATTCACAGGATACATATGCAGAGGAATTTCACATTTAGGTTAGGCCATCATAGACTTGAATTAGTTATCACTAAATTTTCCAAGAGAAACAATAAATGCAGGAAGAATAAGAATAAAGATGGCCTTATAAACTCTCAATGAGTAAAGCATAATAAGTCATGTACAGCATAATACCCTTCAATTCTGATTTAAAAGTACTTCATATTACTGTACAACAAACTGATGAGTATTCACACTTGTAATATCTAGCAAGATTCATGATGATTTATTCACAATCATCGTGATGGAGCTTTTTTTTCAGGCCTTATTCAGGTAATATTTTCAATTAATTTCAATTATTTTGATTTTCAATTATTTACCAAACTATTCAGTTTCTTAATTTCCTTGGCGTAGCCGTCATTGCTCGTCCACGGGGTTTCAAGTATTAGAGGAATATCATTGAATTTCTCACAGTTCATAACACGCCGAAATCCTTCTAGGCCGATGGTTCCTCGACCAATATTTTCGTGGCGATCTTGATGATCCCCCACTTTGCCTATAATGAATCATGCATATAATATCAATACTGATTTACACACACATTTCGGGCATTAATAAAACTTTAACTTACAATAACATTTTCCATTTTATAAAGGAGCATTTACAAGGTATGTTTCGATCTGATGTATGAGATCGAGAGACATACTAGGATCCAAAAGGCTGTAAAGACTACAGGAAGAGCAATAATGATTACACAGTACAGTAAAAAGTACATACTGTATATCATAACATGTAGAGATTATAATGAGTACAGGCAGTATAACAAGTACAAAAGGTGTAATGAACACAGGATGATACAGTATGACGATGACAAAGGCCAAGTAGTGGAAATGCTGGTGGTAATTGGCAGTCGTAACAATCACGATACAGAACACCACTTGGTTTCCGAACCCCTTAGGGACGAGACCCATTGGTTATCATGTAAGTTCTTAAATGAGAAATGAAGGGAAAAAATAAATTAGAAATGTAAAAAAAAAAAATATCGAAAAATTTATGAAAAAACTCTAGGTAAAGAAATCGACAGGTTCATTGCATAAATGTGACTGTATTTTGTTTGTACTTACCAATAAGTGAAGTCCTAATCCGCTTATGTTGATGATCGATGTTGATGAAGCATAGTTATTTACATGGAAGAGGTGGTGGTGGATGTTGATGGTGTTGGGTTGACTGAAGTTGTTGGGTTGACTGGGTCAACATGTGATGAGTCAGGTGCAGGTGATGCAATGCAAACTTTCTTGGAAGCCATTGCAAAAGACTCTTTAACTGACATTTGTTTCATTCCCTTTGATCTTGTTTTTAAAAACTTCATGACTCATCATGTCCTTAGTTTCAAACTCGCTGTAACTCGTGTCCATAAATGCCAGAATGCCTTCAAAATATTGCTGAACTTTTCCCATATTACATTTTTCCTTTAACATTTCTTCATCCTCTTCCTCTCCATCTTCTTCATTGCATGCTTCTGGCTTTTTTGCTGCACATACTAATTCTATAATTTTATCATCAGTCATGTTTCGAATGTTTGGGGCGTCTTCATCAAAATCTATCCACCTATCTATGTCATCTTCTATTGTTTCAGTCACCAGTTCTGCTCTCAGCTCAGGTGACTTAATCCCCTTGACATAGGCTAGGAGTTCCTCTCTTAATTTTTTCCTCTCGCTAACTTTCTTCACCGCAAATCCTTTAAAATCTGCCTCATCATCTTGCTCAGGAAACAGACTTAACGTGGGCCAAAGTTTTTCCAACCATTTCTTAGTGTTGTCTGCTGTACCTCATCCCATGCACTAGCAATAGTCCAGATAGCTGACTTTATTGTGAAGACTTTATAAAAGTCCTTAATTGTTCCTAGCTGATTATTAACCCTTTAACTGTGCGGCCTATAAATATGACACCCCCCAGAGCGCAAGAAATAAATTCTCGGGAAAAAAATCTTTTTTGTTCTGAAAGTGTCAAAAACCCCTCCCTGTATATGGGTATAGCATCGGAATTTCGAAATTGTACTTACTTCGTCTGCTATGGGGTCCGTAAGGTGGCGTGTGACGTCATCATTACCCGTGCACCCGTGCCATAAACTCCCGGGGCCGGTGGGGCGCCATGGGCGTCGCGAATATATTTTTGCACATTTTTTGCGCACATTTCCGAATACAATTTATTACATTTTACGTGCCGAACCGATGTATGGTGAACACGTACACTATATTATGGCAGCAGAACATCCGTACTGTCCGTAGACACTGTTATGTGCATGACACTTAAGTACACATATATTGCACATATTTACCATGTATCATGCTAATTTATGTATATATACAATCTATTTACAGACTATACACTGTCACACACTATACATTCACCATCAACACATTCAGAACACCCTGAGTGTGAGCTGTCACACCCAGCTAGCCCTCCCTCACTCCTCCAACATTGTATTCGCCAACATTGCTCCTCCCATCATACAGTTATTCACAACAATGTTTCATGTTCATTTATGTATATTTACAACATATGTATACACTATACACATTTACCATCAACACATTCAGAACATCGCGAGAGTGAGCAGCCACACCCCGACAGGCCCTCCCTCACTCCAACATCTTACTCGCCAACATTGCTCCTCCCACCATACTGTTATTGTTTTTATTACACTATTTATACTTGTTATATATAGCTATCTACATGTTTTATTTACCAGAACTATGCAAGTAAGCCGGTATTGGATCCAAACAGTACAGTGGCCACCATACACTGCATGAGAAATCACAGCAGACGATGCTACAATTACGACGTCACCTCCCTCACCAAAATAGCTCCACTCAGCATACTCCTGTTGCTGTTATTACACTATATACACACACACACACACACACACACTCTGTATATACCCATGTACATGTGTGTTCCCCATAGCGAACCACAAAGCTAGTATAGTGAGCAAAAAAAAAAAAAGTGTGGTTGCCACAGTGAGGCTACCTCAATTCTCTCCCTCCCTCCCTCCCTCACCAAAATTCCTCCTTCCACAATACTATACACAATGCTAATTATAACCACAATCCTGGTGACTAATTCCTGTAAATGAATGATTGACCACAAAGTTTATTTTGAAAAGGAACCTAAGAAGTCGTTTGAAGATTCGTAGATGGACGAAATAATGCTGTGGTGCTGTGGCTAGTGCTGTGAACATCGTGAACAGCATTGAATCACTGATATTTGAACATTGTACCCAGTCATTATCACACTTAGGCTCTTCTATAATACTATCAAGGCTAAATAATACAATTTATATATGTATTTTGACATTATTAGGCGATGCTGTGGTCACACGCTGAACAGCAGTGCTGTGCGCTCATACTGCGAGCGCCAACCTTGGTTGCTCACTCACTACTGAGGCTCTCACACCCGGGAATGTGGACCATGATTTTTTTTAAAGATGGCGTCTGTTTACAAGAGCCCTGAGGAAGCTGATGTGAACCCCATGTAGCCACGGGAGTTTTGAATGGAACATGAAAAATACAAATACCTGGAGGCGCGTAGCGCACCCCAGACGTGGGCCTGCAGGTGCGTTGCAGTTAACGGGTTAAGATGTCTGGGACACATCCTCTTGTAGTGGTGTTTAAGTTTCTTAATTATGCCTTGATCCATGGTTGGATCATTGAAGTTGTATTGGGTGGTAAGAATGTTCCAATGATATTGCCATTTACTAGCTCATCACCTCGTAGAAGCGTTAAACTATTATCTAGCAGCAGCACAACTTTGCTGTTTTGCGGGAGACCAACACTTTTCAGGTGTTCCTTCACCTCAGGTACAAAGTTCTTATTAAACCACTCGACAAATATTACTCGAGACATTCACGCACTTGGCTGGTCCCTATAAATCACAGGGAGGCACCTAGCTGACTTTAAAGCCCTGGGGTTTTTGCTAATTCCAATCACAAGTAATTTTAATTTGTGCATGCCAGCTGCATTTGCACAGCACAACAAAGAAATTCTGTTTGTTCTGTTTAAACCACTTGAAGGATCGTCCTCACCACTATGAGCCATAGTGTCTGTGGGTAGCATACGCCAGCACAAACCTGTCTCATCAGCATTATAAATTTGCTCTGGAGATAAATTTTGTTCCTGTACCATCTCCGCAAATTTACTTGCATACTCATCAGCACCAACAATATTAGCAGATTGTCTTTCACCATGTACTTTAATGAATCTAATGCCATGATGGGTTTTAAAGCTTTTGAGCCATCCATTACTGTATACACACTTCTGAGTAATTTCCATTGCTTGATGAAATTCACATGCCTTTTCCACGAGCAGCCAGCCTGCCACTGGCTTCTTCGTCACCCCCTGCCTCTGTTTGTACCACTCCCATACTGAGTTATCAACACTCTCCACCTTTGCTTTACTTACTACCTTTCTATTTCGTATTGCCTTACAACTTTCACTTTTAGAGAAATAGTAAAAAATAATAGGTTTAGCCTTAAGATGATCAAAAACAGTACTTTTGCTAATGCCATATTCAGCGCACACGACACTTCTCGGGACACTGCTCTCCACCTTCTTAATTATTTCAACTTTCTTCTCAAATGTCATCACTGACCTCTTTCTTTTATGTAACCTGCTTGATGATGCTTTCACTGACACAATGCGTGCATTTGGAGCCGACATGGTGCACGGATGTTCCTTGATTGTGCTGATATGTAAAACAAAGTCACGGAATGAACACTCCAGTCTCGTGACAAATTCAAACAACGGGAACAATAGGCCGTGAATCTGTGACGTCACAGGGTAGCAGGCACTAGAGTGGAGGCGCCCGACACGGTCAGTGGGCAAACTAAACCATCTCCCACCCACTACAACAGGCCGGCACGAGGCTTGGCAGACAGCTTCCTCCTACCTACCTTGAGGCAACCTTGAGGTGATTCCGGAGCTCAGCGACCCCGCTGCCCGGTCGTCGACCAGGCCTCCTGGTTGCTGGACTGGTCAACCAGGCTGTTGGACGCGGCTGCTCGCAGCCTGACGTATGAGTCACAGCCTGGTTGATCAGGTATCCTTTGAAGATGTTTGTCAAGTTCTCTCTTGAACACTGTGAGGGGTCAGCCAGTTATGCCCCTTATGTGTAGCAGAAGCGTGTTGTACAGTCTCGGGCCTCTGATGTTGATAGAGTTCTCTCTCAGAGTACCTGTTGCACCTCTGCTCTTCAACGGGGGTATTCTGCACATCCTGCCATGCCTTCTGGTCTCATGTGCTGTTATTTCATTGTGCAGGTTTGGGACCAGCCCCTCTACTATTTTCCATGTGTAAATTATTATGTATCTCTCTATATCTCAAGAGAATACAGATTTAGGCTCTTTAGTCGGTCCCAATAGTTTAGATGTTTTACTGAGTGGATTCTAGCAGTAAAGGATCTCTGCACGCTCTCCAGGTCAGCAATTTCTCCAGCTTTGAAAGGGGCTGTCATTGTGCAGTAGTATTCCACTCTAGAGAGCACTAGCATCTTGAAAAG